AGAAAAAAAATACAAAACTTCTTCCTGAATACTGTAATGATGGTGCAGCTACCATTTTGTATCCAGAGATACATTTCAGCCACTACTGCTACTGCAGAATCTATTAATGTAACAAACTGTTCAGTCCACCAATCGTGTAGCTGAAAAATAAGGCAATGTACAGCTGTAGCAGTTTTAGAAGTTACTGCTGTCAACAGTGTGGGAACTCGTGGACATACATGTATACTCATAGGTAGTTTTCCTACAGACAGAAACTTTCCAAAGATAACATACACCTTTATTTGTCTTGAGAAATATAGGTAACATTCTTTGATGATGTTATAGAGGATACACTTTTTTGACATCTGAATGCTCTTGGTAATCATTGCAGTGTAGTAATACATGTGTTGCACTCAAAAAATAACTGTATACTTTTGATTCAGTCACTCACATTGTATAATCATTACAAATAACCCCAGTTGTAACTGGACCACACATACCCTCTTGTTGAAATGAATGACTTTGAATGGTATTGATCTGTTGAGTAACTTGATTTTGAAAATTGTGAGAGAATGTTGTGTATCCTATGATATGCAATACAAGAAATGTAGTATTGCACAACTTTACTTCACAAATCTAGATCCTGGGTGATAACGTGTAATTTACATTGTACATTTATTAAAAAGGAAAACAGAACGTATATTTCACGGCTTGTGATTGATATACCGAGTGAGTTAACCTGTGTGAATGGTGTTCAGGGACAGGTGTGTTAATATCTTGTTACTGGAATGAGTTTGACAAACGCTGAAGAGGAGACTGTACAGGTAAATATCTGGCTGCAGTTTTTTAGAAGAATGTCCATTGTATGTGCCAGATGACTTACTGTGCAGTACCATTAAATCCCGACGGGTGGCATGGAACCCATGTAGCCTGTAGAGTAAAATTAATGTACAAATTACAGCGAAGTGGATGAAGATACATGTAGCGTATGGTCAAGCTATATGGCTGAGTATCCGTCATACACACAGATATTGTGCCTGGAGGAACAATACGCGAACTAGTCGTGAAGATCTACTAAACCCGTCGGGGCATCTGTGTCATACACTGATACCTGTGTACCACAGAAAATGTCACCACCGTACCGACCATCACGATTACAGTCATTCTGTCGGCATTCTTTACCGGCCTGCGGACGGGGTTGTTTGTGTCGTGGTTCTGCAGATTCTCTGCCAGGACGCGTGCGGAGTTAAGATTAGTAGAGCTCTTGAGAGAAGAGTTCTTGAGATCCATCGGGTCAACATCAGAAGTGCCCTCTTCTTCATCACGAACAGGGTCGTCATTTCCATCCAGGAGAGAGGAGTCGTCTCGTGCAGACATGCCGGTAGAGCTGTTGTACCCGGACGTCATGGCAGAGGTGGGACGTTTTTCGTCGCCGCTGTTGAGATGCTTCTCGCTGTACTTCTCCAAATCGTCAACTCCATCCAGATCACCATCCGGGAGGGCCGCAGACACGCCAGGTGCAACCTGGTTGTCATCCATGTCCGGGACTCCATCTCCGACCTGGAAATACAGATAGAAATAGATTTTTAAGATGTAAAAACACTGAAAATCTAATCACTGATTTATGTGTTTTGACGAAATGGAGACTTTGAAATAGGTATACATTACAATGTATTGGTCTACTGACTGCTGACACCGATCAATGAGACAGTAACAAACACACGCAGATACAGACATTACCAAGGCAAGATTTATCACTAGCTGTATTTGGGGGCCGTGACAAGAATCAACCAACATACAAGGCCATGTTGAACATACATGTTGCTGAATATCTTTCAAAAGGCTGGTATAAGATTACCTACTAGTATAATAAAGTATACCAGGAAACTCACATCTTGGGGAGTGTGCGCGTAGTGGACGTCCTCATTGCTGGACCAGTTCCCATCACCCTCTATCTCACGGGACCTTCCTGGAACACGGGCCCGGACAGGCACGTGGTGTTTCTCTTCAAGGGTCGTTAGGTACCAGTCGCTGTCGTCCCCATCTGATTGGATGGGCGTTTGGTCGTCAAGGGGAGCCTCGTCCACAGCAGTAGGATCTGCGAACTCCCCTTGGTAGTGGGCCCAACTTCCGTCCAAACGGACGTCAACAGCAGTCTGGGCTTCGACATGGGTGGGCGCCGCCGACAATCCAATAACCTAGAAATACAGATAGATACATGTAGATTATGATTAAGATGGGAAAACACTGAAAACCTATTCACTGATTTACGTGTTTTGACGAAATGGAAACTTTGAAATAGATATGTTGATTTGCTGACTGCTAACAACGATCATTGAGACAGAAACAAACACACGCAGATGCAGGCATTACCAAGATAAGACTCATCACTAGTATAATATTTGGGGGCCGTGAGAAGAATCAACATATAAATGTGGCTGAAGATTTGTAGATTTGAAGGCTCGTATAACAAGTATCTACAAACATATGTATATCAAAGTATCCAGAAAACTCACCAGTGTTACACCGAACAGAAACACACCGGCCATGGCCGCCCACATACGCAAGGACGGGAGTCCTGTCAGCTCCTCCTGAGCGGGCTCAACGGGGAAAGTCATCATCGCACGACGGCGGGATCTCCTGTTACACCTGCCACGTCGTTTCGACATGTTTGAGTAAAGTACTCTGAAGCAGAGCGAGAAAATCGGTGAAGGGTATGGCAGTACGTAAACTGTACGTCCGCTTCGAACCTTGTCGCTCGAACAAATGATAAACAACAACCTGTTGCTAGTGTGGAACACCGGGTTGTGACGTTCTGCGTTCTGGAACATCTTTCACAAAGACGTATTTCATGTGGTGCAAGTAGGGGATATCTTAGACGGGTAATATAGTGATAGGTACGATTTGTGTACAGACTCTTTGCCACACATTTACTATAATTGTTGTCATACCTGCCCAACATCATCCTCACACAAGTATATACATCTTTCCCTATTGCTAAATACGATCCACACACAGGCAAACGCATATGCTGAACACCATCCACATACAAACTTAACAGTTACCTGTCCCTGGTGCTGAACACCATCCACACACAGACATAACAGTTACCTGTTCCTGGTGCTGAACACCATCCACACACAGACATAGTAGTTACCTGTCCCTGGTGCTGAACACCATCCACACACAAACATAACAGCTAGTAACCTGTCCCTGGTGCTGAACACCATCTACACACAGACATATAGCAGTTACCTGTTCCTGGTACTGAACACCATCCACACACAGACATAGTAGTTACCTGACCCTTGTGCTGAACACCACACACACACACAAACCGTATATATAACAATACCTGTTTGAACACTACATCTACACACAAAAAAATACAGTTACCTGTCCCTGGCGCTGAACACCTTCCACACACAAACAATACAGTAAGTTACACACACACACACGCGCACGCCAAACTAGCTTTGCCTCAGGTGCGTAAAGGTTGAACTTTTCCCAGGCTAGAGAGAGCGTCTTTGAAGTACCTAACAATGGAAGCGCCCGAGTATACGTTAACGTGCTAAGCCGTTGAACCTGTTGTTTCATGGAAAGTGCAATACTTTCTGTTATTGACAGGACGGACCTGTCAGCAGTAGCCTGGGTACCATCCTGGTTTAGTTTACGTAAACTAACTTACTGGGCCAGGATGGTACCCAGGCTATGTCAGCAGTGCAGTACTTTCTGTTACTGACAGGACCGTCCTGTCAACAGCCACAAACAAAAAGCTTCCCCACTAACGTCTGCTTGGCGCTTGTCCCAAGCAGCGATTACGACAGTGTCGCAAACTGGGCCGGTCCATAGTTCAAGAAAAACATGGCGGCGATGAGTGCTGTACACGCAGCAAAAAAAGCTTTGCGGAAGGAAATCAAGGCTAGACTGGCCGCGATGACGGAAGAGGAGAAGTACAGACAATCTCAACTTATAGCACAAAAGGTAAGTTACATTTTGAGGGTGTGTGTAGGTGTGTGAAGGCGTGTAAAGAGGTTTTCTGCCTCCTGACTTCAAAGGTGAGTGACCTTATCGACCTTTTTGACGTAATGGCCCCACCCCCGACACACCCCTCAGGTAACATAAATAGTTAAGTCTGTGATGAATCTTGTCTGACCATTAAACCAGTAACGTTACTTAGTATGCTGTAAGTATGAGATTTCAAAATGTTCGTGTAAATACCCAGATTGGAATGTGTTTGAATTTCGTGACAGTAAGTAAAGAAAATGAGTTTATCAATTGTATTAACGTTACATTTAGGGAAACTTTTCGCTCATGTGTACTTTCGAAACACACTTCCTAAGTTACATCTTGAGAAATGTTCATATTAAGTAAGATTAAATGAAGTAAGAATAAGCCACCAGGATAATACCTGGTTTATATTACCTTTATACCTCATTGGAAATGTACAAGTACTAGAAGTACTAGTATATAGAGTAGAATAAAGTAGAGTAGACACTTGTGCCTGGTTAGGAATTCCAGTTTGGGTCACTCTTCATGTACTGTATATATACAACATATAGTCGGTTAGTACTGTAGATTACTTCATAGATTACTTTCCTAGAATTGTTGTAACATTATAAATTGCCATACATATATGTATCATGTAAAAAAAATTATGCAATTTTCAAGCAACAGTGAAGTTATAATTTTCCTTACTTGTTTTGTATTTTTAGCTCATCTCTAACCCAAAGTACCAGGCCAGCAAGCAGGTCTCCTTGTATCTAAGTTTCTCCAACGAGGTCTGTACAGAAGGCATCCTCAGGCACATCTTCCAGCATGGCAAGAGGGTCTTCATACCAAGGTACAACTACATGTAGAGGCCATTGTGAGAATTTTTTGTGTGTATTGCATACTTTGTTAACATAGAATAATTCTTATGCATTGCAGTCTGACTAATTTCATTCAAAGGTAGGGCTTGAAATA